AGGGGAGAGTCCTGGGGCTGCCCGGGGCACCCCAGACACCTAGGAAGAGCAACAGCCGACAGGAGCAGGTGCTCAAGAGTGCATGTGGGGGTGGGGGGGACACCTGCTATGTGCCTGATGAGCAGGCTGGGCTGTGCCGGGGGGAGCAGGGCCCGGGGGTCCAGGTCCACCTCCACCTCCAGGGCAGCCCGATGATGCTGGACAGCTCCACACACTGGCTCAAAGCTCGAAGCCCTGGACAGCCCCTCGCTGCCCTCTCCCCTCAGCTCTAAAGCCTCCACCCCAGAAGCAAGTGCAAGGGCTCCAGGGGAGAGGAAAGAAAGAGGGCCCTGGCCAGCCCTGACACCACCACCTAACTGGGCTCTCTCTGGGCATCACTGGCCACACTGCTCCTGAGCTGCCCCACCCCTGAGGCCCGGTCCCAGGAGGACCGGGAGAGAGTCAGCCCAACGCCCTCGTAACCATGAGGGGAGCTCAGCTATGCTGCAAAACTACTTCCTGGAGGGAAGCCTCTAAGACAGGGAAAAAACACAAAGAGCACTCAGAAATACAGAGAAGAGCGGCGGAGGGGTGAGGCCGGGGCCAGGCTGCAGCGGGCCTCCCCTGGGGCGGCTGGGGAGGGGCCTGCTTTCTGCTGCCCTCATCACCAGCCCGTCAGGGGCACCACATCGCTTTCATAGTCCCAATTCAAGAGCTCTCTCACTCTGGCCCTGGTACCCTTCCAACTCCCCAAACACGGTGGCCAGTGGGTACCCTGGGGGTCACCTTCCTCCACAACGGAGGCTCCTGGGAGGTCCTCTGGGCAGCCGGAGGCCTAGGAACACCGAAGCATCCGCAGGGTAAAGCGGGGGGTGGGGAGAAGGAAAGCCACACCTCTCACGGCCATGCCTGGACCGTGGAGCCAAGATGGGGGAGCCAGCTGTGTCCCCCAAGAAAGAGCCCACATACCAAGGTCACACGTGAGCATCAGTGGCTTTTATTACTTGACCCCAAAGGTAGAGGCTAGGGAGGAGTGACGAGGGCAGGCTTTCCAGGTGGGCCAAGCCCCCACCCCTCCTTCATACTTGGGACCAGCTTCCTGCCCAGAGCCTGATGGCCTCCGTCTCAGCGACTCCTCCAGGCAGCCCTCCAAGATCCTCCCTGCAGAACCGGTTGCACTGAGCTGCTTGGACAGGCCAGTTCTCTTCCCTAGATACCCAGCACAATGCTCGAGCACCGGTGCATGGGGAGGGGGGCCCCAGGGCTTTCAGGTCTGTCTCCTGGAATAGTACCCACATTCCTGCCCTTTGAGGGCTCTCCAAGCCACTTTGCTGGAGAAAGGGACACAGATCTCTCAGGACAAACAACTGTGATGTGTGCCCATCAACTGGGAGGGGACGGATCTGGCCTCCAGACACACACACGGACAGGCATGACCAGGTTGCGCCTGGAGTGCATGCGGTCCCAGTACCACTTGGACGAGCCCTCCCTGCCACCCCCTGGGCCTCGCCCCCTCCTGCCTCCTGCTGTCCAGCAGCCCAACATGCTGACCGCCCGGCTCCCCTCTACACCCCAGCCACAAGTGAGCTGGCCGGCACAAATGTCTGCAACGGTTTGTGGGGCAGGTGAGGGAATGAAAGAAATACCGACCGAGGGCCACGGGCCCCCTGTGCCTCGAGTGCACCCACGCCCCCAGACACAGACAGCCCCCAGCAGCCACACAGGAAAGCCAACCGGCTCCGAGCACAGCCCTCCATCGCCGCCTCTGGGGTGGACTGGCCAGACTGAGCAGCCGCCAGAAGGACCATCAAGAGTCAGCGTGACAACAGAGACCCCTGCTGGATCCGCTGGGGGTGGCAGCGAAGCTGGGGAGCAGCCTCCCTTCCCCCCTACCCCCAGTCCCTCCAAACCACACAAGAGAACATTCCAGGCCTTCCACTGCCCTGTCTCCCAGCCCCAATCCCGGATTATCATCCCCCCACCCCTACCCCTGCTTCCAGCCACCAGGCAAACTTCTACTCATCCTTCAAAGCCCAGCTCAGGAACCACCTGCTTGGGGACACTTGCCTGATGTCTCTGCAACCCCAGGGCCAACTGCTCCCTCTCCTGGACCCCACCCCATATCTGTGCTTGGGGACACCCATCCTCACCTTCCAAAGTGCCTCCCCCACCCTGCGCCAGCCCACAGGTACATACTGAACTCAGACACACCCGGAAGACACTGAGGCCCAGGTGTAAACACGGGTCCAGGCCAAGACCACGGCTTGTGAAACCGCCAAGCCCCATCCTCAGAGCACCCAAGTGCTGGGCCCCCACGCAGCCTGCCGTGGCCAGGCCCTCCGCATGGCCATTTCCAGAAAACCTCCGTACTTAGGGGAAGCCGACAGACCAAAGGCCCTCAAATGACAAGCAAGCATGCCTGCTTCCTCAAAAGGCACTAGCCAACCATGGCACAAACCCTGGAAGATGCAGCTCATCATGGAGGAGAAGAGCGGGCAGCCAGGAGACCCTTCCACAACCTGCAATCCGCCCGATAGTTCCCAGCTCCAGTGACCCGAGCGCCTCCTCCGGCTCTCTGTTTCCTTCTTAGCATCCAGTTCTTGGTTGTGAATCAGATCACACCAACCGGCCTCCCCACTGCACAGGCACGCAGAGAGCTACAAGAATCCTGCACGCCCACCTCGGTGGCACCAAGCATGGCTCTGTAAAGGGGACCCTGAGTGCAGAGGGAGCGGGAGGGGACAATGAAGCAGGAAAGAACGTTCCCACGACACCGTCCATTGAGGGCCCAAGTCATTACCCGTTTCACAGAAGGGCTAACTGAGGCACAGGCGGTAATGCTGACCAGGTGGAGGCCAGGCCACCCCCCAGGATAGGCTCTTTGCACAACAGAAAGCGAAGCCAGAATGCCTTTATTTGGGGCTGCACTCCCCCAGCGAGGGCTGAAAGCCAGCCATGACGCTTGCACCTCTCCTCTGGAGCCCCTGGAGAACTCGGGGTGGGGGTGTGCTCAAGCACCCCGCACAGGTCCCCTGAGCTCCCCTCAGCTGGCTTGGCTGTCCCCACCAACCCTGCCCAGGGGCTGTGTGCCGATCAGGTTCCCCAATCTCACTTGGCACCATGGATGTTCGGGGCTGGATAAATCTGCCTATGTAGGGGAAGGGGCGCTCTGGGTACTGTGGGGGGCTGAACAGCATCCCTGGCCCCCACCCACTCGGCACCAGGAGTTGCCAGGAGCACCTGAATTGACAACCACAAGCTTCCCCAGACACTGCTCTGCGTCCCCTGGGGGCAGGATCTCAGGGAGAGACCCATTGCTCTCCTAATGCGGAACAAAAACACTTTAAGATACCCAACGCAGCTATTCGTGTGTGGCTCAACCCTAGATCAGGGCAAGGCGGCAGGATTTTTTAAGGGTCTCAGGTCATCCGGAGGGGCTGCCAGGTACAGGAAGCCGGGGGCACAGTCCCAGGATGGCCTCTCGCCTCAGAAAACAGAGTCCGACTTAATCAGTGCAGCAGGATCTTGACGACGTACAAAAGCCACAAAGCCTCTTCTGTGGGAGGCCGGGAGGGAGCCTAGCATGCAGGCAAATGCAGGACTTGGGGCAACTTCCAAAACACATTTCCTCTGACTTTTCAGTATTGTCCAATGTTTTTAAAATGAATGTTACTCTGAGTCGCGAAGAAAAGTGCTTTGAACAGAGGCAACATGTGGGCTTCACCAGCTGGGACTCTGCCCAAAACCACAATGGTGACGCAGCCTGGTGTAAGTGGTGAATTCGGTGCTTTGAAAACCCCAGCACCTCGCCTCTAATCCCATCCTTACAGAAAACCAAGAGCAACAAGACAATAGAACCACCACCAGCGGGGTTGAAGGCGTCGTCTCCACTGGGAGGCCTGCAAGGCTGGATCCCTGGGGGCTGCGGCATCTGGGGAGGGGCAGGGGGGACGCTTAAAAAGAAAGTGGCCTCCGCAAGAAACAGCCTGTGACCAAGAGACACCAGGCGATGTCTAGGGACACATCTGTTGTTACAACCAGGGTAGGAGGTGTCACGACTAGGGGTGCTCCTGGCACGGAGCAGGTGGATGCGCTCAGAGCCTTACAGCGCCCAGGATGCTCCCCACCCAGGGCATGACTGGCCCCAACGGGCCCCAATGTCCAGTTTTTTTACCATCCCTCCAACCAGCTTCAGAGCTGCTCCCCTGCCCCGCGCTGCCCAGACTAAGCAGGAGGCCCCAGCGGGCCAGACTCCAGGCCCCACTACCCCCCAGCTAGCAAAGGTACTCCAGGCTCCTTGCATACCCTGGTCAGGCCTCCAGACACGAAAGGCAATGCTGCTGTCTGCTGACCTTTTCTCAGAATCCGTTCTTTCTCAGTATCAGGGGAGAGAAATCTCCCCAGCATTCACTTGTAATGAGAAAGTGCTGGATGCAGGAGAGCACACTTCCATTCCATCTCGGAAGATACCATCACGGGATGGTGGGAAGTCTCCCCCAAATGAAACCCGATGGCACCCTGCCCAAAGAGGGAGCAGCTAAGGGGCAGCATGGCCAGGGGGCCTGCTCGGTACAGTCATCCCCCGGGGGCTGCCTGTTCCTGCGGCTGTGGCCCCCCAGCTCCAAGTCGGCTCACAGGGGAAATAAATCGCACCGTCCGCAGGGAAGTGCTTTTTATCTCTGCCTCCATTCCCCGAGAAGCAGGGCTTGCTCTCCAGACCATAAAGGGCCCTCAAGGGCCTCATGTGAGGCCCAGGGGAGGGCTGCCCCCACCACACAGCCATGAATGACCACTCCTGCCTTCCAGCCTGTCCTCAGGTCTCAGCGCTCAAGTCCTGCAATTCTGTCCTTCCCAGGTCTCGCTGTTCCCGGCCAGCCCCAAGGCACAGCGCTGAGGCCTGACACACAATGGGTGCCCTGGTGTGTGGGGGGACACACAGGTGCTGGGCAGTGGGCACTGGAGGAAGGTGGGGAGTGCGGCAAGGGCCTGACTGCCCAGACTCAATCCCATCCCCCACTTACCGGCTGTGCGCACACAGGAGAGTGGCTCCCCATCTCTGGGCCTCAGTTTGCTCATCTGTAAAATGGGGACAATCATCCCTACCATTGAGAGTCCTAGAGAGCCTGCCCGAGCGTGTGCTGCCACAACTGGGCAATACCACACCCGGGTCTGGAAGTGGGAGTCCTAAAGCCCACAGGCGGTGGGCTGGGGGTGGGGCTGGATCTGCAGGGCTGGAAGCAACAGGATCCCCGGCCCAGCCTCCTCACGGGCCTCAGACTCTGCTGAAAGGCTCAGGTGCCCATTAGCCCAAGACCAGAGGTGCTGGGCCTCACAGGAACCCCACAGCCCACCTGCAGGCGGCTCCCACCCAGCACCTTAGCAACTCTTGTTGCTTAAAAATGAGTCCAAACAAACCTGGCCCAGCCCACCCTCGCCAGAGCACCTCTGCTTGGGCCATGCACATCTGGACTGCTGCAGCCTCTTCCAGCCGAAAGGAAACAGGGCTTGTCAAAATCTGGAGCAGGGGAAGCTGAAAGGGAGGGAAAGGACAGGCACACACTCTCCCCTGGCCTCCTCAGAGGGCAGCAACCCCATAAGCATGCCACAGAAAAGGAAACAGAGGGTCAGAGAGGCTCCACAGCAAGAAAGAGACTGAGCTGGGACTTGACCCTGCGCCTCTGCAGAGGAAGCAGTGTTCTACCCCAAAGCAGGCCTCCCCCCTTCCTGTCCTTTCCTGCAAAAGGAAAATGCACACCTACTGGGGAAAGGGGTAGGCAGTTGCATTTTTTCCACGGCAAGCAGGGCAGACAGAACTACGTCACCAAATAGGTTCCCAAAAATGATCCTTTAGGAAACTAACTGGCCATCTGCGAGGCAGAAAGAAACGTAAAAAGTGACTTACCGTGGGAAGAACACATGAGGCGAGAAATCAACACCCCAGAGCTCAGAAGGCTGCAAGGCAACATGTGGACTTGGGGCCAAGTCACAACGGCAGTGGCATAAGGGTGTGGTGCTGCCCTCCCTGTACTAACCATGAGGAACCCAGAAACCGGGGCTCCCTGCAAAGCACCACGCACAATACCAAGAGGCAAATAAACGGAGTCAAGACGCCGTGCGCTTCAACAGGGGAGTTGGGCGCCAGCTCCCATGTGCCCCCCCACCTCCCGGCCCCCACTGGAGCTGGGAGGAGCATGACCTGATGCTAAGGTACCCGTGGGCACACGAGTGTGTTCTCCTCCACAGCAGGTTCCTGGCGGCCACACCCGAAGCTCACGCAGCTCTGAACGCCCCGTGCCCAGCACAGGTGTGGAACCAGACAGTGAATGCTTGCATCTGGCTGGCTGTAGACAGCTGCGGGTGCCAGAGAGCTAAGCAAATTTACGTGAGAAATGAGAAAATCCTATTTTCTTTTCCGACAAAATGGAAAAACAGGCCTATTATTTAACTCTAGCCAGCGCACTCCTCTTTCGAAGAAGGTTCTGAGACGACCACTTTTTATGGGGAAAGACACAAAGGAAATCTGACACTGGGACCACATGAGGAAGTCTGGGTCTGATGGAAAGGGGGAGCCAGTCCTGAAGGACACAGGTCACCAGTGGGAGCCTGAGCTGCCCTCCGAAGGAGTGACACCACTTAATCCTCCCTCCAAGCCTTTCGCTGCGACGCCCTTCTTTCCCCCGTTCTTAAAATCTCAGCTCAAATCCCACACCTCCTACAAGAAGCCTTCCTGACTCCTCCCAGCTTTCACCAAACTCCGCCACAACAAGGACAACCACCACGATGCTACAACGTGCGGTCCACCAACATTCTCTGCGCAGCTGAAAGCAGGTAATTCCCTGGAGGCCTCCTCCCCCTCCCGGCCCAGTCCCTTGGGTGTGACGGGCTGCCTGTGTCCAGTCGCGTCTGACACACAGTAGGTGCTCCCAAGACCCTCCTCGCTGCACCACTGGAGACAGCAGGGGCCGCCGCCGGGGACGCGGAGGGGAAAGGAGCGCGGCCACAAACCGGCCCCGCCACAAGCACCTGCGGTTGGGGGAGCGGCGGGAACGGTTCCGCGCACCGGGCAGCTCGGGCGCGAGTAAAGGCAGAGGGGCCCGGGGCCTGCCGAGCGCTGTCAGCCGCGCTCAGCGTCCGGCCTGCGTTGGCTCGCTCCACGCTCGCGACAGCTCTGGGAGGGCATGCCCCTCGCGGTTTACGTCGGGGGCTCCCGGAAACGGAGGCTCGCCGGGCATCCCGGGCGCCGGGCGCCGGGCCCGGGGGTGGGGGTGGGGGGTCCCGGGCCGGGCCCGCGACGCCCACCAGTGGGTGGAGAGGGCACTGGGCCGAGGCCCGGGCGCCGGGAAGGCCCCAGTGGTGGCGTCTGCGCCCGGGCCGGGGAGCCGAGCCCTGCTCGGGCATTACCTGCTACGGGGGGCGCCGCTCCGCCGCCGCCAAGAGCGCCGGGGCCCCGGGCCCCGCGGTGCCGGAAGTGGCAGTAGGGCCGCCGGCAGGGCCCCCCGGGCGCCCCAGCCCAGTAGGGGCAGTCGATGGCCCGGAAGAAGCCGGTGGAGCGTAGCATGGTCCGTCCCGCGGGGGGACCCCGGCCCGGAGCCGCCCGGGCCCCCGGGCCGCTCACTGGCGCCGCGGTCGCCGCCGCCCGCGCCTCACGGACCCCGCCGCCGCCATCTTGCTCCGAGGCCCCCGCAGGCCCCCGGGACGCCGCCGCAAGGGACCTCGGGAGCGGCTGGCCGCGGCTCGCCTGACCAGAAACGCCGGCCCTCGAGGGACCGAGGGCCGCCGCGGACGCAAGGGCCGGGCCGGGCGGCCGCGGGAGGAGGGATGGAGGACGCGGGCGGCCCGGCCTGGAGCCTCCGGGAGCTTCGCCGGCGCCGCCGCCCTGCCCTCGGAAGCGGCAGCGGAACCATCTTGAGCCCGAGGCCCCGACGGCGCCTGGGCTGTCCACCGCGCGCCTGATCGGGGAAAAAAAAAAAAAAATCCCTCAGGACCCGGCGGTCATTCACCTGCTTTGAGTTGGCGTTTTATTAGCATGTTGCCCTGAAGTGCCCCCTGCTGGACGAGGCGAGTCTTGCGGGCGCGTCTTCCCGGTGCCTCGCCTCTGCCCCGGGGTGCCCTCGGCTGTCAGTGCGTGCCTGCGGGCAGCGTGAGGCCCACACCCGCGGGAGTCCTCATTCGCTCGAGTGTGCCCACGAGGCCGCGCGCCTGCTGTCTGCCAGGACCTGCCCGGGGCGGACCCCCGGACAAATGAGGGACGGTGGGGGGGGGGGGGAGGGGAGGCTCAGCAGCCCGGGCGGGGGGCGCGGGAGGCCAACATCTTAATGGAAAATTCGGAGAATGGGGCGTCTGGCTGGCTCAGCCGTAGAACCTGCGACTCTTGATCCCGGGGTCGTGAGTTCGAGCTTTGGGCATAGAGTTTACTTAAAAAAAAAAAAAAATGTAAGACTGACCCATTGCATGTTGGTGGGATTACAAAATGGTGCAGCCACTCTGGAAAAGTGTATGGCGGTTCCTCAAAAAGTTCAAAGTACACCTACCATATGACCCGGCAGCCCCACTTCTGGGTGTGTATCCAAAAGAACGGGAAGCAGGGTCCTGAAGAGATGTTTGCACACCCCTGTTCGCAGCAGCAGGATTCACAGTAGCCAAGAGGTGGGAACAGCCCATACCTAGCAACGGACGAGCAGATACACGTGGTATATCCATGTAACCCAACGTCATTATTCAGCCTGAAGAAGAAAGGAAGGGACCCCGACACCTGCCACGACGCGGAGGGACCCCGACGACACCGGGCTCAGTGAGAGGAGCCGGACCCAGAAGGACACATCCCGCAGGAGGACCCCACTCCCAGGAGGTCCCCAGAGGAGTCCCGTCCACACAGACAGAGAGGAGAGGGTGGGAGCCGGGGCTGGGGCAGGGGGTGGGGAGTCCGTGCTTCGTGGGGACAGAGTCTCCGTGGGGGGAGACGGAACGTTCTGGAGACGGAGGGTGGGGTGGCTGCAGGACCGTGGGAGTGGGCTTCACGCCGCGGAGCTGTGCGCTTAGAAACAGTTAAAAATGGAACATTTTATGTTATGTATTTTCACCACAAGTACAAATTAATGAACTAAGAAGTACAGCAATGGAGGGCAGGTGGGATGGGGAGGGTCAGAGGTGACTCTCCAGAGGACACAATCTCAGCTTTTGTCCAAATTCTGTCTCCTGGCGAGCCAGTGGGTCCTGAGGGCAGAGACCCCTTGCCTCTGTGACCCTGTTGAATGCACTCAGAGTTTGAAACCCTGAGAGTCCCTGGTTTGAAATGCAGTAAGTGTCCACAAGGGTGCACACAATATTGCAGGCGGGTTTCTAGGTGTGGGACTCTTTCTCTCTCTCTCTTTTTTAAGATTTTATTTATTTATTTGAGAGAGGGAGAGCATGAGCTGGGGGAGGGGCAGAGGGGGAGGGAGAAGCAGACCCCCCTCTGAGCAAGGAGCCGGACACAGGGCTCCATCTAAGGACGCTGGGATCACGACCTGAGCCCAAGACAGATGCTTCACCAACTGAGCCACCCAGGCGCCCCTGCACGCGACTCTTGAGCAGGCATCCAGGCAGGACACAGCTGGAGGCTGTGAATGTGTGAGGGTCCTTGTTGTCCAAACCAGGAGGGCGATGGGGAGCCATGGAGGCTTGGAGCACTGAAGGATGCAGGTGGGTTTCTCCGCTTGACAGTCACGTGTCTCCCTGGGGATTTCCCACCATGGCAGCCTCAAAAACCTTCCCATTCTCCCAACAATGTAGGGATTTTATTCACACCTGCCTGCATTCCACCCTCATCAACCCGGGGATCTCAGGGTCGGAACCCAGCTGGACACAATCTACAACACATATCTGTAAAATGGATCAATATGAAGGAATGAATCTGCCCTCCATTCTAGGGGGGGGCAGAAAACTGCATTTAATGCGTGCCACCTGGGGTAAGACTTTAGGGATGAAAATAAGAAATGCAGCAGAGGCAGATGGGAGGCATCTCCAACAGGGCATCCTGGGCAGATTTTCCCCTCTGGGTTTTTTGGGTGTTTTTTTTTTTTTAGATTTTTTATTCATTTTTTAACAGAGAGAGACCCAGCGAGAGAGGCAACACAAGCAGGGAGAGTGGGAGAGGGAGAAGCAGGCTTCCCGCCGAGCAGGGAGCCCGATGCGGGGCTCGATCCCAGGACCCTGGGACCATGACCTGAGCCGAAGGCGGACGCTTAACTGACTGAGCCACCCAGGCGCCCAACTCCCCTCTGTTTTATTCCATGCAGTGGATTTTTCCTTTTTTATTTAGGGGAAATTTACATTAACAAAATTAATCATTTTATTTTATTTAAGATTTTATTTTTAAGTAATCTCTACACCCCAGGTGGGACTTGAACTCATTTCCCTGAGATCAAGAGTCACATGCTCTACTGACTGAGTCAGGCGCCCCCATAATTAATCATTTTAGAAGTGAAAATTCGGGGGCATTTTGTACCTTCACTGTTCTGTGCAACCATCACCTCTATGTAACTGCAGAATATTCCGAAGCCAGAAAGAAGCCCCGTCCCCATCAGCCATCCCCTCTCCCCAGCCCCCGGCCCCCACGAGCCCCCTTCCCGTCCGCGGATGAGCCCGTTCCGGACGTGTCACCCACGTGGACGCACACCCCGTGTGGCCTTCTGTGTCCGGCTCCCTCCCTGAGCGTCGTGGGCTCGGGGTCCGCCCCTGGGGCCACACGTGTGGGCGCCTCGCTCCTGGTTGCAGCCCAGTGCCATGCCCGTGTGTGTCTGTTTTGTGTGTCCGTCCCTCTGTCGAAGGGCATTGGGACATCGTGAACTGTGCGGCTGTGGACACGCATGTGTTTGTTTTTGGTGTGTGTGTTTGAGCACCAGGGCTTTTTTTTTTAGTAGGAGTTTTTCAAATGATGTAAATTTGTCTGTTGCCCATGTTTAAAACGTGGAGAGATGTCACCAAAAACCTGCAAATCCCAGGCTCTGTATGAACAGTTGGCCACCCTGGGTCCACCAGCTGGTGATTGCCACGGACCCCTGTGAGCACACGCGGGGCCCCCTCCCAGCCTACTGCTCTCCTCACCTCAGCCACCTGGCCCCTCATGCAGGGGTTCCTCAACACCTGCCATCACCAAGAACAGAAAGGCGGGCCCCCTGCAAGTGGCCTGACAAAGTGTGTGAGGTAAAGCCCACCTAGTCTCTATCCAGGCTCACTGGTCTTGGGCATCCATTTAGCAAATATTCACCAAGTGCCTGTTACGTGCCAGACAATGCTAGAAACACTGGGCAACAGGGGGAAGATCCTTACCCTGGTGGGGGTGGTGCTCTAGGTGGGGGAGACAGATAATAGGAAATAAGGAAATGAGATAGCATGATCTTTTTTTTTTTTTTTAAAGATTTTATTTGAGAGAGAGAGCACAAGAGGGGGTAGGGTCAGAGGGAGGAGCAGACTCCCCGCCGAGCAGGGAGCCTGATGCGGGACTCAATCCCGGGACTCCGGGATCATGACCCGAGCCAAAGGCAGTCGCTTAACCAACTGAGCCACCCAGATGCCCCGAGATTGCGTGATCTAAGTGCTGCGGTGGGGGGGGGGGGGGGGGAGAAGAACAGGGTATGCGGCTGAGAGAAGAGGTGATCCATGTAGTCCTCTGAGGAAGCTGGGATTTGAGCAGTTCTGAAGCAAGTAGAGGGGGAAGGGCATTCCAGGCAGAGGGCACAGTCTGTGCAAAGGCCCTGGGGCAGCACTGGGTGGGCATGTTGGAGGAACAGAGAGGAGGTCCGCATGGCTGGAGCAGGGTGGGCAAGGGGGAGAGAGGGAGGAGTGGAGAGCAGGGAGGGGAAGGGGGCAGGTCGTGCAGGGCCTTGGGGACATTGGTGAGGACTTGGGCTTTTCCCCCAGGGAGGTGGGAACCCCAGAGGGCTGTGAGCAGAGCGGGGGCGGGGCCTGATTCGGTGCTCACTGGCGCCCTCTGGTGGCCACCGAGGGGGGGGACGGACTGTGGGGGCGACCGGGAGGCCATAGTGGAGGGGGCTGCTCCGCTCCAGGTGGGCGACGACGGGGTGGACTAAGTGGAGACACAGGGCGGGGTGGAAGTGGGCCGATTTGGGATGTGCTTTGAAGATAGAACTCCAGGGAGATTTCCGGATGGAATGGACGTGGGTAGAGACAGAGTGAAGGTCAAGGGTGACCCCAAGGATTTTGGCCCGCCACCTGGAAAGCTGGAGGTGCCGATGCCTGAAGGGGCGGTGGGACTGGGCAGCCTGGCGGGGCAGTGGGTACACATCGAGGGTCCGGAGTAGGGGTCCGACCAGGGCGCGTCGTCGGCACACAGGGGACGTGAGCGTACAGGGAGGAAAGCGAGAGGGGGGCCTGAGCCCGGGGTGCGGGGGACCCGGAAGGGTCAGGGGTCCCCGAGGCCTCACGACCAGGGAGCGTCCCCAAGACAGGAGGGGACATCTCGAGCTGTTCAGAGCACGTGGGATGGTGTCCAAGAGAGACAGGCGGGAGGGGCTGCGTGCGTGGACCCCGAATTCCGGGGGCTCTGCCCAAAGGGGCAGAAACGGCAGCTGGAGCCGGAGGGGGGCAGTGGGACGGGGGTCCGAGGAGTAATGTCGGCGAGCCTGCGGGGCAGAAGCCAGTAGAAGGGGGACAAAGTGAAGCAGGGGTTAGGGGGATGCAACAGGGAGGCCGTCCTCGAGTAAGGGCGAGGGCCCCCTGCCCAGCTTGCGGGCGGCCTGCGCGGCCGCAGGGGCAGGACCCCCGGGAGGGCTCGGCGGGAGCCGGCGGGGCAGTGCCAGGGGCGGCCACCAGATGGCGCGGCCTTCGCCTTCCCTGGGGCGGAATCAGGGAAGCCCCTGGGGAGGGTCTGCGCGCCCCCACTGGAGCCACACCCGCCTTCGGGGCTCTGGAGACCGCGGGAATCTGGGCGTCCGTTTCCTAGGAAAGGGCTTCAAGACCCTCACCAGCTTCTCAACGCTCCCGGGGCCGCAGAGCCCTCCTCCGGCGGGGCCTCCCCCGCCCAGGCCCCTCCAATCGGGAGCTGGCAGACGCCAGGCGTGCGATACGTGAGCAGACCCGCTGGGCACGCAAGCCTGGCGCGGCGCGGAGACAGCGGGGTCCGCGGACCCTCTGGGGACGAGCGCTGTCACGCCCACCAGCAGCCCCAGGGGCACGGCCGCCCCCCTGCTCCCGGAGCCGGAAGGGGGCGGGCGCCGGACGCCCCCGGGCGCCGTGTCACCGCGCCTCCGTTGCCGGGTAACGGAGCGGGAAGGAGGGGGCGCCGCTGCGCGAGGCGTGGGTGACGCGGGGCAGCAGCCCCCTCCCCAGGCCTTAGGGCCGAGGGAGCGTCATCTCGTGTCCCAGCTAGTGGGGTCTTTTCAGGGCCCCCAGCCGGAGGCTGGTGACCTGGGGGCTACACTATTGAGGGGGACACAGGCAACTCGGCGGGCCGGCTGAAGGCCAGAGGTGGGAAAAACCACACAGGCACCAGAGTCGGGTTTAAAAAAGGGCTTGTTTAATTAAATACAAGGAAGAGGCCAGGCAGGACAGGGGGAAGTGGGGCGCCCCCTGAAAGCACAAGTCCCTCGGGGCCCTCCCCCCTCACCCCCTCCTTGAGATGCCACAGCTAAGTGGCTGGAACCAGGTCCCAATGACCTCGAGCTCCTTGGGGGAGGAGGGGCACCGGTCTCTCCAGGCCCCTGGACACTGCGGAGGGGCCAGGGAGGAGTCCTCAGCTTCCTGGGCCCTCAGACCCACCGTCCACCTCCTGTGCAGAGGCACCAGCCAGGGATAGGACAATCAAGAGGACGTCCATAAAGACTTAGGGGAAAATGGGACCCCAGCCTGCCCTCACAGACTAAGGCATCTCACCAACACTGCTGGAAAAGAGGGTTTAGGGTACAGATGGACCAGCCTGGAAAGGATCTGCCCGGAGACTGGGGCGAGAAGACCCCTCCCACTCCAGCTCCAGAAGGGCTTCCCTGGCCTCCTCCCCAGGACGCCCAGTACCCATCCCTGGATCCTGCCAGGCTGGGTCTGGTCCACAACGCCATCCAAAACCCGAGCCCCCGATGGGGAGACAGGAAGGTTCTGGAACACACATTGGTGTCACAAACCCCCTGCAGCCAACAGTGGGACACAGGTCCTTTCAGGGTCTTGGGACAGGGAGCCTGGATCCTCTCCCATTCTAGGGCGGGGGTCCTCAGTCCCTGTCCAAAATGAAACCCAACCAAAGCCACAGTGGGGAATACGCCAGGAGAGGACACAGCACCTACCCCTCCCTACCCTAAGTTCAGATCACGCAGACCTTCCCCCCAACACCCACACCCCCTGAGGACAACGGACCACCCACGGGGCCCAGGTCAAGAAAGGGATTGGTGCCTGAAAAAATATTCTACCCGGTCCAAAAAAACGAGCTATCCCGTGGGGTGCAGGCGTCAGCCCTCATGCTTCCTGCCTTTGCAAGCAGGACCCCAACCTCTGGTCCAGGGGCCATGTGACCAGGGGTACCTGCCGGGAGGAAGGGCTGGTGGCAGGATGGAGCTGGCCCCCACACCTCCACCTGCAGGGAAGGGGTGCCTTATGCTCGATGGCTGTCATGGTCCCAAACAGGAGGGATTGACTGATTGTCACACGATGCTGTGGAAGGCCAAAGTTGGGGACTTGACTCTGACAGGAGCAGTCCTCACTCACACACTCACACACCCACCCAGAGAGGGGCAGCTCACTGCCCCCCTCCTTCCCACCAGCAGAGACAGAGGAAAATAAATAAGGAGGCCTTTGCCCCAGCGGCAGCCTGTGTTACCCACCTCCCCTCCATGTGAGTCAAAATGTTCTTTGGAAGAACCCGTTTCTCTCCCTCCCTATCCCAGTCTTAGGAGCAAAACCTGGACCCTACTGCCTTCCCCCCTCCCTGCCTCCCCCCTTTCCACCCTGCCCCCACTGCTGGGGAGCTGGGTGGCAGGGCAGAACCTGTGGACACCTGAGATTGAGTACCCGGATGGGGGCGGCTGGGGCCGCACCCCAGTTCCCTGAACATCTCCAATGGCTTTCAGTGGGGTGAGGGGCCCCGGGCAAGGTGGGGGGGGGTGCCGGGGTAACCCCTGGTTCATCTATGGCTCTTTGCACACATCATCCCAACCTGGAGAGGGGGGCTGGGGGGGCAGAGTCTGAGCACTGGTTAGGTGCCCCTTTCCTGGGCCGCTCCCCCCAGATCCACCCTCTCCAAAGCAGGGAGGTGGCCATGGGGGGAGGGGAGCGCCTGCTGGCCGCCCACCCGGGGTTCCTGTTTAACACATGGGAAGAGAGTTATCCAACATGGCTATTTACAGACGCGGGCCCCAGCCACCCCTCCCAAGGGCCACCCCCGGTCCAGTGTCGGGGACGCTGGCTGTCGTCCGTGGCCCGCCCCTGGCTGCGGACAGCAGGCGTTTTGCTGGTGCTCCATGCCCAGGCCCAGCAGGGGTGCGGCAGGGTGGGCTGGACTAGGGCCCTACAGGCCAGAGGGGGCCGGGCTGGGCGCGGGGCTGGGCGCGGGGCTGCCCGCCAGACTGCAGGGCAGCGAGTCGCTGGGCGAGGTGCTGCGGGCGCCCGGGCGCCGGAGCAGTTCCGGACGGAAGCCGGGGTGGCGGCGCGCGTGCTTGGTCAGGTGGTCGCTCCGGGTGAAGCGCTTGGAGCAGAGCGGGCAGGGAAAGCGCTTCTCGCCGGTGTGCGTCCGGTGGTGGCGGGCCAGCTCGTCGGAGCGCGCGAACTTCTTGTCGCAGCCCGGCCAGTCACAGGCAAAGGGGCGTTCGCCTGGGCAGAGGGGGCAGAGGGCAGACAGAAGCAGTCAGCGCTTGGGGCCACCCACAGAATCCTGGTCATGTGTCTCCCCACCCGCCCACCTGGTTCTAGAGGCGGGATTCTGGGTGTGAATTTAAAACGTGTAAAGGTGCAAAAGAAAACCCCCACTCATTTCACGAAGCCCCTAATGAACACTCCTGCCCTTTATTTCCTAGGAACTTGTAGTAATTCCAGGAGCAGTTTCTGTGGGTTAAAAGTAGAACCCGCAGAGGCTGAGCTCTACCAGGCCCGCCCCCACTCCCACGGCACCGCCTCGGAGACAGATCTCCTGGTGTATAGAACACACACGCACACACACACACACACACACACACGCACGCACACACACACACGCGCGCGCGCGCCCGCTCCCAAGGCATGCTGGGCTTTGCAGGGGCTTCTTCCTATGCAAATGGATCCTGTCCCCACCTCCGCTGGGCCGGGGCGGGGGGGGCATATCAGAGGCTCCCAGGTGCTCGCGACCCCAGTAACCCTCACCTTTTGAAAATGACCACCCGGGGCGCAAAGTCGGTGTGTATGGGGTGGCGTCTGGGCAGATTCCCATGCCCGGTCCACCCACTGACTCTTGTGGCCCCTCTAGAGGTAGAGGAACATGTGAAGGGCCCCCCAGGGCCACCTGCAGCCCCAAGCCCGGCAGAGGGTGGGGAAGGGTACGAGGCCCTGGCAGAGACGGCCCCCCTCAGGTCAGAGCGCCGCCGGGGAGGGGAGGGCCTGGAGGCTGCGGCCACCGGCCTCACCCCGCCCCCGCGGAACGGACAGGGAGGGGAGGGGCGGGCCGCCACCCGGCAACTTCCTCCGCAGACCCCTCCCACCTCCCAGGCTGGCCTCGCCCATCCTGCCCCGACCAGCCGCCGCCAACCCCAAGCGCCTGTTCGCACCCACCCCTTCGGTCTGGGGTGTCGGCCCCAGAACGGTTCAGCTCGACCCCCCAGCGAGCGTGGTCAGCATCTCCCGGGAGCGCCGAGGGCCCCACCTTTAGGCTGGGTCCACCCTGGACCCCCGCCACGCCCCAGGCCAAGGGGCCGTGAGGATCCCGGAGCTTGCACCCCTGCGCCCTGCGCCGGGTACCTGGGACCCTGGACTCCCCAGCCCTTGTTTCGTCCAGGAGTTCTGGAGGGTGTGTGTGTGGTGGGGGTGTGGATAGAATGTGGGCACGTGAGCCGTGGCGCCCACACCCCTGTGTGACACCCTTTGTGGCACTGGATAGAGCTCCGGGTACAAAGGGAGAGGGCTGGACTCGGGGGCAGCCACAGCGGGGTCAGGGTGGTCACCTCCTGGGTTACACACCGGGCCGAGGCTAGGCACTGTGGTGATTCAGGCTGACCCTGTGTCAGGGAACACACCCAGAAGAGGGGTGCATGGCCTGGGGTCTGAGAAAGGCCCCCCAAACAGGACCGATGGTAGCCCAGTACAGAGGTAACCAGGAGCCGGCAGGAAGGACCACGGCACAGGCGTGTGGCTGTGGGGGGAGCCAGGAACATCTCTGCTCTGAAAGCTAAGGGATTGTCCTGGGGTGAAGGGCTGGGAGAAGGTAGGAGTCAGGAGAGGCAGAGGGGGTTCCTGCCATCACCCACGGCCCAGGAGAGAGCCAGACTAAAACCTCCCCTACCCCATCCCTTCTTGCCGGTCAGCCCAAAACCAAAGGAGGAGGTGGGGTCCAGCAAGCCCCCCCATGAAGATTTCTTGTGGGTTTCTCACACCTGCAGGTGGGCATGCCCCAGAAGGCTGTGAATCCAGGTGTGCTAGAGTCACCTACCCCGAGGGGAGGGGGGTTACACATCTGTAACCCAAGACCTCGCAGACTGCAAATCTCTGGGGCTGCACCCTTCCCTGAAACAATCCCAAAGGCAGGGGGAGGGATCTCAGCAGAGACATCCTCTACAGAACCACAGAGCTCAAAACAGCCTGGGAAAGGACCCCCGCCCCACCCGGACGGTGGAGTGCTTGGATGTGACAAGCCCCCAGGGTTGCAGTCTGGGGGAGGGGAGTCCGGTTTGGGGGCGGGGCTGCTGGCTCTAGGCCAGACCCGGTGCCTGGGGGAGCGATGCCCCTCCGAGGGGCATGCAGTCCTGTCGCCATCTTGCAGGGCGCAGGCGGGGAAAAGCAGAAGGGAAGGGGGGGGGCCATCCCGCTGCTGGCGCGCCCCGCAGTTGGCTCACTTCCCCATTTCGGGCGGTGGCGGGACTGGTACCCGCCTCCCAGCCTCCCCTCCTCCCCGCAGTTCCACTTTGCAATAAGCAGGTTGCAAGAGCGCTACCAGCGCGCACTGGGGCAGGACGCGTGCTGCCGCCGGGAACACAGCTGCCGCACGTAGCTCGTAGCTCGGTGGCGGCAGGGACATCCACACGGCCCAGCCGGCTTCGCTCACGTGGTCCCGCTCCCGCTAGGGCGGGGGCGGCGGACGGGGAAGGGGGGGGTTGGGGTCGACTTGCCGGCTGAATGCCGGCCAGCCCCGCCCCACACCCAGTTGCCGGGGAGCTCACGTGCACACGTGGGTGGCGGGGACTCGGGTGCGCAGGCTTCCCACCCCCACAACGATGGGCGAATGCCTGCAAGATACCAGGCCCTGTCACCCTCCCACAGTCCGCTAGCCAGGGTGGGGGGCGCTTAGGAGGCCGCAGGTGCCGCCGCCGGCCGCCCCAGAGCGGACTGGAACCCGGGCTGGAGAAAGATGTGGTGGGCGGGGAGCGGGTGGACATGACCTTTTGACTTGGACCGGGCTGAGGTGACCTGGGGACAGTTGGAGTAACCACAGTGCCATGCTGGTTCAGAAAAATGGAGGCCAAGAGGTCCTGGAGACCTGATACAGGGTAATGGTGGTCCCTGAGCCAAGACAGCTTGGCCTGCCTGGACTTCATAGCACTGGGGCCAAGGACCACGGCTCGGACAACTAACCTTCACCATGACCTCCTGAGGTCATCCCTGGGGTAGGGACGGAGGTGTGTCGGGCAGCCGACCCTTGCACAAATGCCCACCTACTGGGTAGAGGCAGGGGGTAGGGGCCCAGGTGAGGGAGAATTCCTGGAGAGCTAGGGAAGGCTGGGGCTGCAGCAGATGGCAGGGAGCGCCAGGGGCTTCCCGGAGACACCCTGAGTAGTCCAGAAAGAAGCCAAATGGGGCGCCTGGGCGGCTCAGTCGTTAAGCGTCTGCCTTCGGCTCAGGTCATGATCCCAGGGTCCTGGGATCGAGCCCCACATCCGGCTCCCTGCTCCGCGGGAGGCCTGCTTCTCCCTCTCCCACTCCCCCTGCTTGTGTTCCCTCTCTCTCTGTGTCTCTCTCTGTCAAATAAATAAATAAAAATCTTAAAAAAAAAAAACAAAACCCAAAGAACAGTTGTGGAGGTGCAACAGAAAAGGGGAGAAGTTGAAGGTGAGGTCTGGGAAGCAGGGCCTGGAGTCCGCCTCCAGCTGGCTACTCTGAAGGCTTTACAAAGTCCGCTTCTTATGGGAAGCTCCACTATTCTGTGATTTTATTTTATTTCTTAGTTTTGCAGTAATCTCCACACCCAGTGTGGGGCTCGAACTCACAACCCTGAGATCCAGAGTCACATGCTCCACCGACTGAGCCAGCCAGGCAGCCCCATGCTGTGATTTTAAATACCCCCTGGGCCCTGCCCCCCCCCCAAACCCAAGGCTTACCACCTACCCACCCCCACATCCCCCACTCCTCCTGTAGGTTTCCCCTTTCAACCGCTCTGTTGTTGCCACCAGAGCTCAGACAGGCATCTCCTGGCCCTCTCCATCCCCCATCTTGGCCTGCCTGGTACCTGGCAGCAAATCCGATCACTAACCCCTTCAAAATATCTCCAGACCCAGCTCTTGCCTGACTAGTGCAGTAGCCCATCAGCTTGTGGCTGAGCCACCCAGTCTGTGCTCTGCCCTACAACTTCCCAGAGCTACTCCCTGACCCAAGATCAAAGCTGACAGAGTTTACCTTGACCCGCCACCCTCCCTCGACTTCTCTGCAGCCCCACTCACTAATCCTCACCCACCATGTTCCCGCTGCCTGGAAACTCTCCCCATGTCACTCTGCCCCTTCCCTGTATACCCTCACCCCTAAGACTGGCTTCTCCTCACCCACCTGGTGCACTCCACTGTCCCCTTTCTCGGCTTCTCTATCACTGTGCTCAGCATCTCCTAGATGTGAGATCTGCCCCCTCACCTGACCGTCAAGCAGCCGGCACAGGCCCGGCATGCAGGCCCTGGGTGCATGCCTGCGCACCCCGTACTCTATGGGGAGACCACGGCCCGGAGAGTCAGGCTCAGGCTGCGGGCTGCAGCAGCAGCTAATGGTGTGTTCGTCCTCTGTCCAACCCCCCACCCGCCCAGGGAGGTGCGATACACTACCGTGTATTTAAAAGCCTGGCCCCCCGCCGCCCCTCAACCCTCCTTCCTCCCTGAAGACCCACACTGCTGTGGCTCACTTCCCCCCCAGACTGGCCTGTTTGGCCCGGGGGGCTCTTAGTGCCTGGGGGTGAGGGGTAACAACTCTCACAGCCCCCCCTCCCCACAGCATGTGTCACCAGGAGACCTGCTGTTCTGGAACAGCACCGGGGCGAGGGTTAAAGTCAGGGCGGCCCCCACTCCCCGCCCTCCCTCCGAGGGAGGCCGGCTCCTTGCACTGGTATCATCTGCCAGCTCCCGGGCCATCTGGGCCACCTTTATCAGGGAGCCTGGGTGGGGGGTGGTTATCACCCCCCACAATGTTGGAGGACCTCCCCCACTGCCCGGTCACAGCACCGGCACCTGAAGCCAGTTCCAGCAGCGCTCCCTCCTGCGGGAGGAGGGAGCCAGGTGGAGCTCACCGGCCACTCCCGCCCCCCTCAGGCTTGGCACTGCCCTACCCTGCCCCCCCATAAGCCAGCAGTCTCCTGACACCCCCCCCCCCGCCCCGTCCTCAGAGGAGCTCACTGCTCTGCCTGGGGGAGGGGGGTGGGAGGGTCCGCTGTCCTCTCGGCCCTGGGTGGGTGGTGGCTACCTCCCCTCTGGGCCTCAGTTTCCCCAAGTGCCTCTCCCCTGGGGGTCTCTTCAGCCAGGAGTACCACCACCCCCACCCTGCCCCCTTGGGCTGCTCAGAAAAACTAGGGCTCCCCCTAGCCACCTCCTGCTCTCCGTGCCCTGGGGCCTCTCACTCGTACCCGGGCTGCCGGCTGGCCCACTCTTGCTCCCATGCGGGCAGCCTGCCCTCCGCAACCCCTCTCGCGGGACCCTAATCCCTGCTCCATAAACGGATTTTCCTCTGCAAAGCCGGGCCTGCCTTCCTGCCCACTCTCCACCCTGCCCTTGGGATTAAATGGAACCCTTCACCTGCCCTGACCCCCACCTCACACCTCCACCTCACCCTCAAAACTCACACGCCAGGGCCCTTGTCCCCTGCAGCCAGGGTGCAGTGCCCTCTCCGGGGACACACCCCTTCCTGCCCCAGAGGACCCCATGCTATCAGCCGAGAGCCCTCTTCCTCCCTCACTGCTGCTGTCACCCCCCTCCCAAGGGTCCAGGGTGTCAGGGCACGGGGACTGGGATGTCCCCACAGTACCTTGCACATGCTAGATGCTTACCTAACATTCCTCAAACTTAAGGAGATAGGGTTTTAGAGTAAAACTGGGGTTCTCGCCTGGGGGTGATCCTGCAACTCCCCCAGGGGACACGTGTCACTGTCACAACCAGGGACGTTTCTGGCACTGAGTGGGTGTGACCGGGGATGCTGCTGAAACCCCCACGGTGCCCAGGACACCCGCAGAGAATGACATCCGCGGTGCCCTGGGGAAGGGCCTAGAAGCTCCACTTCTGGCTCTGAGCTCCCTCTTGCCAGGAAGGAGCCCGAGACCCCAGCAGGGGCACGGCTCACCGCCTGCTCAGCACCAGGGACTCTGGGGCCGAGGAACAGTCCGGATATGGAAGCTGCGAGAGCAGGGAGTAGACAGCCAGTCTCTCCCCCCCGCTCCCGCCCCCGCCCCCTCTCTCCTCTCACTTTCTGTATCCATAGCAACGGCGTCAACTTCTCCTGAAGCTTCCGAAGTCCTTCCCCACCCCACACAGGAGAGCTCCATGCTGGGGCTGTAGGCCAGACCCAGGGGACCACGGGACAGCCCTGCCCCTGCAGCTGGGTGGCCCTCCCGGCCTCACCACCCCCTATGCCAAGTGGAGCAGGGGACAATGAGGGTACCACACTCAACTCTGGCCAGGATCCTGCTCCGTGCCTCAGTCTGCTCCTCTGTAAAATGGAGCTAGGCTGGGATTGGGATTCTCTTTACAGGGAGGAAGACTGATCCTCGGGCAAAGCAGGGGAAGGCGGGACTCTCTCCCAAAGGCCCTCTGAGGATGGCTCAGCTGACTTCTGATTATTATTTCTCATCACATCTGTCCCCAAGCCCATCCCTGGCAAAGGGCAACACCAAGCTAGCCTTGGTTGGGACACCCGGGGCAAGCCTGGCTTCCCCACCCCCAAGCCAGGTACAACAGCAGCATCTCCCTCTACTAGAGGCCAGGAAAGCTAATGGCCTTTGCGCAGCCACTAAGCTGGGCTTTGTGGTCCGGGGGCAGGGGGGAGGGGGGCGCAGAGACACACTGAACAAGCAGTCTCAAGCACACACGTATCCGAAACCCTCGGGAGACAGGACACCGAGGGTGCCTAAGTCAGGGATTTCCAATCTCAGGAGCAGTCGGTCCATCCAGGAGCTGTGCCCTCTGGGTTCCCAGGCCATGTTATAAGGAGAGCTTTGAGACAGAACACCCAGGGTCACAGCTCCCACTGGAGCGAGGGATCCATCAGGGATGGCACCCTGCCCGCCCCCACCCACTACTCGCACCCTCCACTGGGTCACTCCCCCCGACCCTGGCTGGGCCTTGTGAACCTAAATTTCTCATTTAAAACGTGGACGGCAAGGGGCGCCTGGGTGGCTCAGTCATTGAGCGTCTGCCTTCGGCTCAGGTCATGATCCCAGGGTCCTGGGACGGAGCCCCGCATCGGGCTCCCTGCTCCGCGGGAAGCCTGCTTCTCCCTCTCCCACTCCCCCTGCTTGTGTTCCCTCTCTCGCTTTGTCTCTCTCTCTCTGTCAAATAAATAAACAAAATTCCTTATAAAAAACATAAAAATAAATAAAACCTGGATGGCAATACTGACATCCTCCGGGGCCCCCCCCCCCCCCCGGCCCACCTAGAGAAGCGGCCACCACTGCTTGGGGGCATATGGAGGCTCCGAAGGACTCCAGGATGCCCTGGAGACGTGTCTCTCGGGACCTGTGGTGGGAGGTGGCCTGGCTGCCCCCTTCAACTGACCCAGAAAAGAAAAAAAACCAAATCAGTACACTGGGGGAATCCAAAAGACCCTTGCTACCTCACCATCCAACAGTGACTTAGGGCTGGTGACAGGACAGGTATAGGAGCCCAAGAGTGGGAGAAACGGAGTCCCTCTCTGGACAATCTCTCCACTACAGCACCCCTGCTGTTCAGACAGGCAAACTCACTTAGAATGAGCCAGGGACCTGCTCAGACCCCAGCTCCACACCCAGAGTGGAATCTCCCCTCTGGTCCCCAGAGAGGCGCCTCTCCATCTTCACGGACCCCAGATGTCACTGCCTCCATATGTGGGTAACACCTAGTGGCTGCTCAGGGAAGGATGGTGGCCCCAGGAGGAAATGCAGACCCCACCCCAAGTCAGCCCGGGCTGCGTATCCTGTCTTGTGCTCACAAGTGGGGCAGAGCCTCTAGGTCCCCGCGGACAGGGATGGGGACCGCGCAGGAGACGGAGCGCGAAGAACAGGGAGGAGGGTGCCTGGCATCGGAGGTCCTGCAAGGGGCCTGGGGCTGCCCACACAGGATCCCCACCACACCACTAGGGCCAGCCTGCTTTCTCCCACTCTCTCCACAACAGGAGTGTGTCCACAGTGCCACGGCTGCACGTGACCCCCACAGTGACCCTCAGAAGGCAGAACTCCACGAGCCCTTTCCACAGGTGAAACACTGAACCCCAGCATAGGTCACGGGCTAGAAAGTGGCAGAGCCGGAATCCAAGTGCATCCTCACCGCCTGTACCCAGATGCCCACCCCCCGCTCCCCTGCCCTTCCCCAAGGGAAGACCACCCTCAATATTCAAGCCTAGGCCAGCCAGCAAGACCCACCTTCCCCTGACCCCCAACCCAAACTCCCAGCTTGGAGAGCATTGGGGGGGGTACCCCGAGGGGGACGAGGGAGAGGGTGACAGTGTAAGGGTGATGACTGTACCCGGGGCCTCAGATTCCCCTAGCCGTCCCCTCACCCCCAGCTGGGCGCTGAGAAGTGACAAGTGTCACTGAACCCTCCCCCAACCCTGCCCCCTAACGCGGTGAGGAGACCTGGCTCCCTCGAGGGGCCCCTCTCAAACCCGCCCCCCACTCCCGCATCCAGACTCAGGCCTCGACCCGCACTCTCAGCCCCGCCCTCCGCCTTATTAAAACTCATAAGAAAAAAAAAAAAAACATGTGGGGCGCCCCCTACCCCGGCCCCCGCGCCAGACGCTCTGCTGCCTTCTGGGGTGAATCGTCGCTGCCACCCCGGAGGCGGCGACGCGGCTCCTCCTCCCTCTATGCAGATAGGGAAACTGAGGCAGGAGAGGAGAAGACAAAACCATCTCAGAGCTGCGTGCTCCAACCATGGCATCCACTCCCCAGACACGAACGCGACAGGAAATAAAAGGGAAACGGAGCCGAGGGGGGAGGGGAGGGGACGGGCCGGGAGCCCCGATTCCGCCCACGGACCCCGTCGCGCCGCGCGCCCCGCGAGCGCCTGCAGCCACCACCGTCTCGCCCGCCAACCGCGCACCGCCCGACCGCGTGGCCGCCACGCCCCCTGCGCGCGCCCCACCCACCGAGGCCCCGCCCTCCCGGCCGGCGCGGCGGCGGCCCGGGCGCGCCCCCCTCCCCGCCCCCCACGCGCCACGCAGTTTTGGGGTCCTGGAGGGGGAAGGGGCGCAGGAGACCGTGCGCGCGGGCCAGGAGAACGGGGCTCACCTGTGTGCGTCCGCAGGTGCGACTTGAGGTGTGAGGACTTGTAGTACGCCTTGGCGCAGCCTGGGAAGGGACAGCGGTGGCTCTTGGCGGCGGCGGGCGCGGCGCCGGGGGCGCGGCCAGAGGACGGGGACGAGGTGGCCGAGGAGGAGGAGGCGGGCGAGGCGCCCCCCGGGGCGGCGCCGGGCCCGCTGCGCAGGTCGGCCAGGATGCTGGCGGCCAGCAGGTG